ATTCTAGACAGTTTATCAGCTAAAAAAAGTTAATTTTGGGGTAAGTTACTCTTTAAATATGGAGTTACCAACTAGGAGGTAAAAGAGTAGACAATTGATGAATGTAGTGAAGATATGCAGAAGGTTATTGTGGACAAGAGGAGGCTTAGAATAAAGTGAGATCAAGGGCATGCCATCATCTAGTTACTGCTGAAGGGAGCATCTAAAAGATGCATTTTCAGCTGTCTCAAGCAGAAATCACCACAAGTTTAATGTTTGTCATACAGAAACTAAGCTTTTAAAGGGATCCACCATTAATTGCAACATTACCGGTAGACATTATTTGATAAACATGTACTTAAACTGTAAAACAAAGATCTCAAAAATACACCAAAGCTTTTTATATTAGAGCTACATATGCTAACAATGTTAGCTCTGCACTAACTTCAAAGCTAACAGGCTTGTTTTTCAGTTTAGTAAATGTTTCTCAAATGTCTAATGTTACAAGTAATCATGAATCCCTTTAAGAAAATACTTCCCTTTAAATGTTTCAGATAAATGCTGAGTTCAACATAGTGTAAGTTTGTTGTGAGGTGTGCGGTCAACTGCTACGGCTTCATTCCTCCGTATGTCTGCAGTCTGTTTTCACTCCTCCAATCTGGAGCATTTTGAGATGATTGTTTCAGTGTAACTTGAAAACGAATGAATTTATGCTTTTCTCCTCRTAGCCCCGCTACTATCCTACAGAGGATGTTCCTCGTAAACTGAAGAGCCACGGCAAGAAGCCCTTCAGCCAGCACAAGAGGCGGCTGCGTGCCTCCATCACACCTGGAACTGTCCTCATCCTGCTGACTGGACGTCACCGTGGAAAGGTAAGAGTTACAGTCTGAATGTGGAGGAGAAGAAATGACTGACTCAAAGCTGAAATTGAAATTAGGTTTCACTGTGCTTTGATTCAGTTAAAGGGTTTAAAGCAGGACAAAAAGAGCCATGTTGTAGGGTTTAGATTCACAGCATCTTTTCGGATACACAAGTAATGACTTCATTGTGGGTGATTTTTAAGGACAAAGCTTTTTTTGTGCATGTAATTCAAAACCAGTTTAGTGACTGAAATCATGGCTCATTGAATTCTGCAAAGATATGACATTAAACAGCTGCAAAGTCTGATCCCTTTTTAGCAGAATTATGCATGTTTTCAAAGGCTTTCAGTCCTTTAAATGTCAAATGTAATTCAATTCACTGCACGCATAATTTGTATGTGCAAAACCRAATTCAGAGCTTGTGGTTTGTACTTATCCTGCAAAGTAGATAGTTTTATTTTTGGAAAAATTGGGAAGAACAGCTACTTGTTTTGTAGTGAAAGCACAGTTAGATAAAATTAGATGAAAATAGAAGCCCAGGATGCTCTTTAAAATCTGATTCAAAAAACCTTAGCTGTGTATAATTTTCCATTCTGGCACTTCTCAGTGTCGTACAGTTTTTGCAAACAAAGCAGGGCTRCATAAAATGTTTTTACTACACAACTGTAATGTAGCTCCTCGGTGCAGCAGACATTGTTTCTCTCTCCCACTCACATTCTGGATGAGTTAGTTTTAGAAGGAAATGTTCCCRCACACACTTTGGAGATGACAGCTGACCTGAAAAGAGCATTTTGACTAAAACTTAACAAGCGGAGAGCTCTTCCTATAAATGTGACAGTGCATGTCCAGTAGATCAGGCTTCTTAGTTTGATGCTACCTCCATGGCATGAGAAGATTTCTGCATGCATCACTTGTCAAAGCTGACAGTCTGTGTACGTCCTGATGCTGTAATTTCTATTCATTCACGCAGAATGCTGTTTTTAAAAGATTTTAATTGTTTTTTCAGCGTGTGGTGTTCCTGAAGCAGCTCTCAACTGGACTCCTGTTGGTCACCGGTGAGGATTCCTTTTATTCTTAGTAACTTTAACTGGAAAATCGTCTGTAATCACACTGATGTATTTTTTAAATGATGCTGTTTATCTTTCAGGACCTTTTGCCGTGAACAGAGTCCCCCTGCGCAGGGCCCACCAGAAATTTGTCATTGCTACMAACACCAAAATCGACATCTCTGGTGTAAAAATTCCCAAAACCGTGAACGACACTTACTTCAAGAAGAAGAAGCTGAAGAAGCCCCGTCACCAGGAGGGGGAGATCTTTGATACAGAGAAAGAGGTAACCTGAATGTCAGAATAAAGCATTTATGACGCAGTATAAAGTGGGCTGCTGGTTTAATGACGGGGTTTATTTTCTGTACCTGCAGAAGTACCAGGTGACAGAGCAGAGGAAGGAGGACCAGAAGTCTGTTGATTCTCAGCTCCTGCCACTCATTAAGAAAGAACCTCACCTGAAAGSATACCTGCGCTCCACCTTCTACCTGACGAACGGTGTCTACCCACACAAGCTGGTTTTCTAAATGTTAATAAAGAGTAACAACATCTAAAGCCATCAAGAGTATTTTTTTTTCTTTAACACTTTCCAATACTTTCAACACAGCTTTTTAAACACGGGTCACAATCTGCACATTGTTTACCTGCTCCAACACTAGATTTAATTACCTCATCAAGTTCTGTAGAAACCTGGTAATCTATGAATTGAAACCAGATGTGTTGAAGCAGAGGAACTTCTAAAACAGGATAAAAGCCCTCAAAGAGTAAGATTGTCTTAAAGACTAGTTGTATTCCTCTTAGCTGTGATAGTCATCTGATTATACTCATTACCCTCTGCTTTGTCTACTTTCCCTGCCTGTAGGCTCAATTTGTTTTGTTAGAAATCCTGCATGGTGGACCTTTTAGTCAGCACTCCAGTCCTGCAGCAGCAACACTAGGTTTTCTCCAGAAACTCCCATTTCTTCCATAGTTCAAAAATTAGCRTTTCACATTAAATGACTGGTAAATTAGGAGAATGAGACCATATGTGACCCATCACGTCAAAGGAAGGATTAAGTCCAAAAGTGGGATGTGGAGAARTGTACAGATAACGGTTTTGATTTAAACGTGTGCAAAAATTGCTTTGTCAAATTATAATTAATGCCTCAATGTATAATATATAAAACTGGAAAAAAAAATTTTTGAAGCATTTTTTGAGCAGTAGCAACAAAAAGGGAGGAAATTAAGATTCAGCAATGTATTATTGTAACCAACAAGACAAATTAAGTCATGTCTCTGGATAAGCTTATATCAGAATGATCCAGGTATCAAAATGTAGCTTTTAAAGCCGAGAATCTGAAAATAATTAGGTCATTTTGACCAAATTTGACTTGATCCTCATTTTGATATGATGGGTCATACATGTATCCTCATGTGGCCCTGTGATGGATGTTTGAACATCTAGAGTGAACTCCACATAAAACATGAGCAAATAGTATTATTGCAGCATCTTCAGTTCTAATGAATTCCCTCACTACCCTGAAGAATATAAATTTTGCACTTTAGTGTTAATTGAAGTTGTTGACCTCGGTATATTTATGCTTGAGGGTAATGATGTAATTTAATGCCAAACATTCACTCGCAGTGTAACCAAGTTACCTCAAGTAACACTTAAAATTATTTAAAAACAGCTTTGAATGAAATAATTGTCTGATAAAAGCCAGCTCGGCAAAATGACCACAGTAGACATTGAACATCGACAGCTTAACAGCTACGCTTTAATAAAAAACTGACGAGTCTAATGTAACAAGACAAAAATAAATACAAGTGTTTCATCTCTTTAACATGGCCATTGTTTCAAATCCTCAAAAACAAAGTCGAATGCAGCACAGAAAAAAAGGCAGAGGCCCCTTGCCAAGGAATGATAAGTGCCTTTAGTGGAGTCCATCAGTACTGTATGGTCAGCTGGGATTGGAGGAGAAGAAAAAACTTCCTTCAGCCAGACTTGAACAGCAGAATAGCCACCTGACCCAAGTAGAAGTAAATAAAATGCTTGGTCTCGTGGGTTACGTAGCTGCCGAAGTTCCTCCCAACAATGCAGTGCCATGTTGGGTTATATTTCTTATCAAACTCCTGTGAGACAAAAAAMACATTTTTATTAACAAACATTAAATCTAACAAACAGCTAAGAATAACATTTTAAATCCTGAAAACTACACTGTAATTGAAAAACAATTGAGTTGTTGATTATGTGACAGCTAGATCACAAGACTAAATGGAGGTAATATACCTGCACTACAGCCCCCTCTGCACCCCTACTTCCAGTTGCATCGCACTTGTTTTTAAAGTGAGATGCACATTGTTGTATTTAGAGAGAAAGGCATCTGGAACTTAACCATTGTCCATCTTTGCTAAAGACAGTCCCCAAAACTCATTCATGCTAGTATATTTTAAAAATGTAAAAATATCTAGATATTTATCCAAGTACTTTAAACTAGCTTTATAGTGATTCGATATTGATTTGTGTGGATGTCCATTTGATGTGTGATATCAYCAAGTCTGTCATACGATTACAATTCAGCTCACATGATCGACACACTGATCTACATCATGCATATGATGACCATAGGATCAGTGTTTTCATTGTGCCTTTGTCTAGTCTTGTTTGTCTTGTTTTCTTCGTGTTTCCCTCTTCAGCACATGAAGAAGTGAACTCTTGCATCTCTTAGGTGGAGCCCCTTCAAATTTATCAAGAGGAGTGTCTTCGGTTTTTTTCGACGCCCACGTTTGGCAACAGTTTTAAAATGGTCTCCAAACAATATTATCGTTTATCACAATAACTTCTGARACAATTCATCGTCCAGCAAAAATTGTTATTGTGACAGGCTTAGTCATGATGTAATTGAATCAAACATTTAACAATATGACGATGCACATGATATATCGGTATCGGCCAATATTGGTCATTATTTAGAATATCGGTATGATATGAGTGTGTGTGTGTGTGTGTATATGTATATATGGGTATATGTATATATGTATGCATGTCATCCATTTATTTATCCATTTATTTTTCAGGTGAGCGGACAGATATYGGRTGTGYGGCCTTGTGTTTTCTTGGTGTATATTTAATATATTTGTAATCTCTATTTCAATCTTTCTAATTACATTTTCTCTTTGTTTTTCCCTCTTTTTCTATTTTCTATTTACTTAAAAAAATCACTGATGATGAAGAAATTAAGAAACTAATATTAAGTTATTTTTTCTACTGTAGTGATAAAAAAAAATTATCGGTATCAGTCCGATATTGATTTCCCACTTTTTAGTTTTGCGTTTCTGTTTTGGGAGGGGAGATGGTTGGTTGAGAGGCATCTGTTTGATCATGATAGTGATATTGACGCTGCGCAGCCAGGAATAACTGAAGTAGGGAGTCATGTCAGGTCTGGTCGTTTATTTATAGTATCAAAAAAAGACAAGTGTGTTTGTGCGTATATGTGTAACAATTTGTGTGTTTAATATYSGTAAATATCAGTTATCGAACATAACRGCAATAATTACATGGATATCGGCTGAAATTTTCATATCGGTGCATCCCTAACTGCTACGCCACTACTTCAAACTGCGTCTACACATTTGTGCGTGATGGTTATGGAACATCACTGTGGTGAAGTGCTGAAACTGACAGTCATATCACTACAACAAAATGAATAGATAATAATAGATGGGGCTGAGTTGTCCTTGTGAGCATGTTTTTTTCCCCAGCAGGGAGGGTTTTACCTTCTTGATGTATGCAGCAATGTCTTTTTCGATGTTGTACTTCTCCAGGGCCTGCGTGGCACACTCCACGGCGTCCTGCTGCATGTCCTCTGACATGTCAGCATTTTTGATCACTGGCTTTCTGTCAGACATGTTGGCCCTGAGTAATCAAAACACGGAATTCATCACTCATGCACAATGAGACTGATCATCCTAACCATCATCATCATGAACTGACTTACTGTRGAAATGGTCAAACGGTCGCTGGTTTGCGACATTATTACATAAAAGCGCATACATAATGTTTGAACTAGCCTTTTCTAGCCCTGTTACATAACTTCCATCACAGGCTGCACGGCTGCTCTGCGTAGTTTCTATGGATACGCAAGACATTTATGATTATCGCCTCTTTTTTTTTTTTTTTTTTTTCCCCAAGACACCAACAAGAGTCCTGTGAGAGCAGGCTGCAAAACCTCATCATGTGACTACTGAATACAATACACAGCACACAGATGGAAATAAAATAAAATACTTTACTTGTTTTAGCGTGCTCCAAAATTAATATATTTTAAAATCTATAATAGAGTAAATAGAATGGCAGGAAAATATGTTTGTTTAAAACAACTTTCCAGACGAGCTGTTGCTCAGCAGGATAACTGCTCATTCATCGCAACACAAGAGAGACACAGAGAAAGAGAAACCAACGTTTACTACGTTTTAACGTTTAATACGGATAGGGTAAATCAATATTTAAATAATCAAATACGATTTTTCCTGCAAGAAAAAAAAGACAGTTTACCTTCAAATGTGGCGTATCTTATGGGAGTAGTTTAAATGGAATAAGTGCTCCTGGAGCGACAACTCCCGCGAAGTGGTTAACACAAAAGTAATGTGGGTGTGTAACCGTAGGAGCCTRCTGCCTCGACGTGCTCCTATTGGTCAGTACTGACGCACAGCGCGCGGCTATTGGCCATGTTGAGCCTGTCTTTCTGGTGTTTTTGCTAGCATTTTATTTCAATCCATGATGCATTGCGACACAGTGTTGCCGGAGGAACCTAGCTACAGCGTCATTTAGCATATAGCATACAAGCGATTTATTTTAGTACCGTTTCGGATGCCACCAAGTACAGAATTTATGTTTTTCACTCTGTGTATTTTTCTTGGCATTTTGTGTAAACAAAAACTTTGTTATATTAAAAGAACTGTAACACTGTACATCTTATATACAAAAGCAAAGACCAAAGTATTGTTTTTTTATGTGCAACACATTAATCGATACTCATATTTTAAGTTTGTTTTAGTCTAAAATGCCCTTATTCTAAATTATTTTTGGTCTATAAATTAGGGAATCATTAAAGCAATACCTAATGTTCTAGGTATTGCTGTAAAAGTATTTCCAAAGACAACATACACATCTTCTATTGATCTATATTTACAGTAAAGTAAAATCTTAGTTAAAACCAATATAGTTTAAACATATTTATATATACTATTTATTATGGCACAAGATGTTTGGCTGAGGTGTTGACAGGTGAATGAATCTGAAAGTAGGTGGGAAACAATAAGTACTTTTTTCTACCATTTTATTTCACTCACACTTATTGTTTGTAGTTGACACGGACCAAATCCCACGTTTCTTTTCTTAAAATTTATTCTCATTTACATACAATTATTCAAACACAAAACTTAAGTACTTCATCAAAATCTAGTATTCAAGTCTTACACCTTATTTCACTTTATCTACTTACAAATGCCCCCTAAAAAGCAGTGAACAGATATCCTGGTTTAAAACTGCTTCTTTGTGTTGTAATAATGACTTTTTTAAAGAAGAAAAACATGTCCACTGGGTTGTTTGCGACACTTATTAAAAAGCTGCAAATATTTTAACATTGTCGATCCGTGCACCCAAACTGAATAACTATCACAAAATAATAATAATATTACTGTACATCAAACAAACAAAAAACTTTTATAGAGCTATGGCAAGTTAAGAAGCACCATCATCATCATAAAAACAAGGATATGACATATCCTCAGCATTCAGGATACACAGAAAATGTAACAGAGGTCATCCCAATTTAAAAAATGGCTTCTTTGTGTTTACAATCCCCTTTTGGTATACTAAAAACAAAATATGCAAGTGAGGTAAAATAAATTACTGTTGGCATGAGTTACACAGTTTAAAAACAAGCTGAAGTTAGTGTACAAGGATGCATGACTATGAACTTTGGAAATAAAACATTGTCCAGAGTGTGATGGATGGAAAAGGTGTAACAAATAAAAACTAAAACAAAACTTCAAACTGRACAGTTTTCTTCTCAGTGTTATGAATGAATGGCAAAAAACTAACACACATTTTTTTAAACTTTTATCTATTTTGTAGGACAGCTGCTGATTTTCTTTACTCGCTGCGATCCTTGGGCTCTCTGTATTTGTACTGGATGTAGTCGAAGATGTCTTTCTCACTATCCACCAGCAGAGGCTCCCCTGCCACTCCTACAACAGATTTGATTTAAAAAAAAAATACATTAATGCTAAAAGAATGAGCCAGCAGCTGCTGTCTGATTAATGCAGAGCTCACTAAGTTTTAGCAAACTCTGTGGTTGTCTGGGATTTACCAGTGACACCGAGTGGTCTGATGGTGTACTCATTAAGAGTGAAGCCCTTCTCCAGAGCATGAGTCCTCATGTTTTTATTAAAGATGTCACTTCCAGTAAAATACAGGACTCCACAGTAGTACTGGTCCTTGGGAATTAACCTTTTGAAAATGGAGAAAAATGTTTACACTGTAAGTAAAAAAAACAGATAAAAATATAAACAAAAGAAAAAAACATATTGTTTTTGCCGAATATAGAAATGCAAATAATTTGAAACAGTGAAGGAAATGCCATTTCTGATTTATTTCAACCTTATATCTATACGCCTGTGAAGATGTTCTTCCTCCTCTTCATCCTCATCACTTTGCTGCAGCTGGCAGACTCCCTTGAAAAACAAGAACCGGGACTCTAAGAAGAGTCATGTGCTACAGAGGATGTGTATAGTTACTACAGTAACTGCATTACCAAACACAACAGCAGCAGTCGGCTCAGTAATGAATGGAAACATGCAGAGGTCTCACCATGAACTTGGTGTCTCCTTTGGACAGAGTGTCGGTCACGAACCCAATGGATTCCAAATGCTCAACCACAGCATGAAGGAGTTTGGGCTGGAAAACAAAAACAGAGCTAAATGAGTTGTAAAGAGCTGAGGCATTAAGTACCACCATGTTATTTATTTTAGGATAAATAAGTAACAGAAATGTAAGCCTGACCTGCTTTTCTGTTTGAGAGGTGTACTCTGGGTGTGTCAGCAAAATATCAATATCACCACTCGATGCTGCACCTGGAAATTATTAATGGGATTAAAAGAAGATGAGCCACTATCGTAAATTWAAAATGAACAATCGTTAACTGGTAAGGATTACCTCTCCTGTAGCTTCCACAAATTGTTCCAATATATTCTGTATCAATTTTTTCCAGCTCCTCAAGAATAAGAGCCTACACAAAATAAATAAATAATTTAAAAAATACGTGTGTAAAGGAACTTGTCATAAAAGCATTACAAGATAGGTTTAAAGGTGGAATTACCTCCATCTTTTCCATTTCAGCTCTTGGGATTCTTTTCTCAAATTCCTCAAAGTATCTAAATCCAACCAAGGAAATTATTAAGTTTTATTATTTCTTTACTGTGAAATAACTTCAAATATAAAAAAAATGTACGAGTTTTAAGCAAACTTACTTGAGTCCAATCTTTTGATGGTGGTTTAACTTGTGCTCAATCTTTTTCAAATCTGAAAAAAAAAAAAAAAAACCAAAAACTACTTAAAAATTTCCTCCCCGAGTTTAATACAAAAACTATTTTTTTTCACAGCTTTAATTTAACATGCAACAATTTGAATCTCAGTATCAACGTCACTTTGATTTGTATTGTATATATKATGAGTTAGACACAATACAAACCATCCAGAGTTTTTACTCCTTCATCAAAGAATTTCCTGGCAGCGGCAGGGCTAAAGACAAAAACACAACACACATATAATGTAAGGGGCAAAAAGYTAAATACTTTGAACAAATAAGAGTCTCAAGGTCTCATATTGAACTGGGATATCCAATCAAAATGGTTCTCAGAGGAATTTTATAAACGYACACATTAGCCCTTTAACTGTAAATGTATAAGGTTAATAACRTACCCAATTCCAGTAACTCTTGTAAGAAAGTTGATTGAAGAGCTAGTATCGTCATTTCGAATCTAGAGGGAAATATTAAGGTAGTACACATTTGTCAGTAAGTTAAGTTTCAATCTGCACAGATTCGTACAGGGATGGTTTTATAGAGGGGCTGAAAGGCTGCAGCACCCCCTACTGTCAGAGATCTGCAGCTGCAAAACAAAAACCCTGCATGTAGCTAAATGTAAATATTAAAACTCACCTTCTCAAGTTTTCTTAGTTTGCCAGTTTGAAGGAACTCRTCGATTTTTTCTGCTATCTTAGCTCCAACTCCATCCTGTGAAGATGTGAAACATGAGAGAGCTGCGTTTGCTGAAGTGCTCCAAGAAGTGGCTGWTGATGAACATTTATTAGCAATGTAAGTAAATGTACAACTGCATAAACATAAAAACATCAGGGGTGAGACAAACACAAGTTTGTGAATAAACAAGTTCAGTATGGTATAAAGCAAGAAATCAAAGTACTTTTTCAAGTTTACATTTTAAAACATCAAAATTTCCCATAAACCATTCCCATAAACCAATGTTTGATGGTCAATTTCACAAAAGTATTCATGTAAATGTCCACATAGACATACTATAAGTATCAAACAGGAACTCATCAAGACATWTTGAACGATAATGATCAGTACAACAACCCTCCCCGATTAAAACAAACAGGGTTGACATCTTTGTTTTTGTCTCTCAGAGATGATGCAGTTGGATGTCTTCTGGTTTCTAGTGAATATCAAGAGAGGCTGGTCACAAAAGCAGCAACAAATACAGAAAATGAATTTAATGAACAAACCAGTTTCTTGGCCTCTTCTCCACTCTTAATCTTTTGGGGGTACTTGGAAATAGTAGACGCTGCTTTCCTATTTACAGAAAAGGAAAAAAAATGCTTTGTAACATTAAAAAAAAGGTATATCAGTGAAAAACACGTGCTTTGATCTCACCTGTATGCATTGTACTTGTGTATTGCTCTGTTGACATTTTTTTCATAGTTTGCCAGCTCTAGAAGTAGAAGAATCKTTAACATTTGTGTGACTTCACACACTAAGTGTTTTAAACCAGACTCAGAGCAGGTAAGGTAAGGCATTTAAATGACCAACCAGTAAAACAAACTGTAGTACAGAATAACCAAATGCTTAAATATAAAATAAAGAAACAGCATGACTAAATGTCTCATACATAAATTGGATTTGCAAAGCTGATTGAAAGCTGTGTAATTTTAAACAACATGATTATGAGGGTAATAGTCAGGCTAACTGCTAGCTTAGCTTTACGTACCGACAAGAAAGTCCGTTATTCCCTCATTTAGGGATTCTTGTGGAGCTTTTCTCTTGCTCATTGTGATTCGATACAACGCYTAGGTAACTCCTCGATGTTCTTCGGAAGTCAAACTACTTCATTTACAAGCGTAACTTTGCTATTTTGTATTTTCAGCTAGCATCTGGCTAGCACTGTAGCTAACGCTAACTCACGCTAAACAATGACGGACCACGTAAGAGGTTGCGCATGCGTACTACCTCCCCGTCAATAATTGTAGGCATTTTAAAAAATACAACTGATTTCCCATTTTTGGCGCATAACAGGGTTTAACAGTCAGTTATTTAAAATACACAACACACATAAAACATTATGACAAAATTAGTTACTATTTTGAGATTCATCTTTTTAACTTTACAGACATTTTATTGAGTACACAAAACAACTGCAAATGCATGTGCTTTAAATAAATAATTATTTTAGCAGCTACTGCCTTTCAGTAACCTTAGCTGCTCACCACAATAAAAAGAAAAAAAA